CACCAATAACAGTCAAGATGAGAGGCTAACTAAGGACACAACTCCCTTCACCACAGCTTCAAAGAAAATGAAATATCTAGGAATATACCTAACACAGGAGGTGAAAGACCTCTATAATGAAAATTATGAAATCCTAAGAAAGGAAATCGCAGAGGATATTAACAAATGGAAGAATATACCATGCTCATGGCTGGGAATAATCAACATTGTCAAAATGTCTATACTTCCCAAAGCAATCTACCAATTCAATGCCATTCCTATTAAAATACCAATATCATACTTTCAAGATTGTGAAAAAATGATTCTGTGTTTTGTATGGAACCAGAAAAAAACCTGTATAGCTAAGGCAGTTCTTAGTAATAAAAACAAAGCTGAGGGCATCACCATACCAGATTTTAGGCTGTACTACAAGGCCATAGTGGTCAAGACAGCATGGTACTGGCACAAAAATAGAGTCATAGACATTTGGAATCGAATAAAAAACCAGGAAATGAAACTAACATCTTACAACCACCTGATCTTTGATAAACCAAACAAGAACATATCTTGGGGGAAAGACTCCCTATTCAATAAATGGTGCTGGGAGAACTGGATATCCACATGTACAAGACTGAAACTGGACCCACGCCTTTCTCCACTTATAAAAATTGATTCAAATGGATAAAGGACTTAAATTTAAGGCATGAAACAATAAAAATCCTCAAAGAAAGCATAGGAAAAGCACTGGAAGATATTGGCCTGAGGAAAGACTTCATGAAGAAGATTGCCAGGCCAATTGCAACAACAACAAAAGTAAACAAATGGGACTTAATTAAACTGAAAAGCTTCTATACAGCTAAAGAAACAACAACCAAAGCAAATAGACAACCTACACAATGGGAAAGGATATTTGCATATTTTGAATCAGACAAAAGCTTGATAACTAGGATCTATAGAGAACTCAAATTAATCCACATGAAAAAAGCCAACAATCCCATATATCAATGGGCAAGAGACATGAATAGAACTTTCTCCAAAGAAGATAGACGAATGGCTAGCAAACATGAAAAAATGCTCATCATCCCTAATTATTAGAGAAATTCAAATCAAAACCACCCTGAGATACCATCTAACCCCAGTGAGAATGGCCCACATCACAAAATCTTAAAACTGCAGATGCTGGCATGGATGTGGAGAGAAAGGAACACTTTTACACTGCTGCTGAGACTGCAAACTAATACAACCTTTTTGGAAGGAAGTATGGAGAACCCTCAAAGAACTCAAGCTAGACCTCCCATTTGATCCTGCAATCCCATTACTGGGCATCTACCCAGAAGGAAAAAAATCCGTTGATCATAAGGACCCTTGCAGTAGACTGTTTATTGCAGCTCAATTTACAATTGCCAAAATGTGGAAACAGCCTAAATGTCCACCAACCCAGGAATGGATTAACAAGCTGTGGTATATGTACACTATGGAATACTATTCAGCCATTAAAAAAATGGAGACTTTACAGCCTTTGTATTAACCTGGATGGAAGTGGAACACATTATTCTTAGTAAAGCATCACAAGAATGGAGAAGCAAGAATCTTATGTATTGGCTCGGCGCCTGTAGCTCAACAGGCTAAGGCGCCAGCCACGTACACCTAAGGTGGCGGGTTCGAATCCCCAGCCCGGACCTGCCAAACAACAATGACGGCTGCAACCAAAAAACAGCCGGGTGCTGTGGTGGGCGCCTGTGGTCCCAGCTACTTGGGAGGCGGAGGCAGGAGACTCGCTTGAGCCCAGGTATTGGAGGTTGCTGTGAGCTGTAATGCCACGGCACTCTACCCAGGGGGGCAGCTTGAGGCTCTGTCTCAAAAAAAAAAAAAAAAAAAGAATCTTATGTATTCAACTTTGATATGAGGACAATTAATGACAATTAATGACAATTAATGACACAGTGGGGGTGGGGGAAGGGGAGAGCAAAGAGAGAGAAGGAGGGAGGGGTGGAGGAAAGGAAGAGCAGAGAGAAGGAGGGAGGGAGGTGGGGCCTTGGTGTGTGCCACACCTTTTGGGGGGAAGACACGATTGTAAGAGGGACTTTATATAATAAATGCAGTCAGTGTAACCTGGTTTCTTGTACCCTCAATGAATCCCCCCCCCAAAAAGAATCACTAACATTGTGATTCACTGATTTTGGGGAAAAAAAAAAAGATACACAGATGGCTAATAAGCACATGAAATTACTAGAGAAATGTATGTCAAAACCTCACACCTACTACACTAGCTGTCATTTAAAAAAGGATAAGTGTTGGGGGTGATATGCACAAGCTGGACACTCGTGGAGTGCTGGGAATGTGAAACAGGCTTCCCGGCAATTTCTCAAAAGGTTGGACGAGATTACTACATGATCCAGCAATCTCACTTCTGGGTGTGTGTCCAAAATAACTGAAAGAAAAGTCTCAAAGGGACATTTGTACACCATGATCGTAGCAGCATAATTCACAATAGCTAAAATGCAGCAACAACCTGGGTGCAGATAAATGGATAAAGAAATGTGGTCCATGCATACAATGGAAAATTATTCAGTCATAAGAGGGGTGAAATTCTGGCACTTGCTGCAAAGCAAGTAGGCCTTGAAAATATCATAGGCAGTGAGTGAAGTGAGCCAGACACAGAAGGAAACACTGTATGATTCCACTTACATGGTGTCCCTACAGCAGGCAAATTCGGGGGACAAAAAGTAGAAAAGTGGGTGCTCAGGGCTGGGGGAGCTCAGGAAGGAGAGTCAGGACAGAAATTTCTTTGGAATAATAAGAGAGTTTGGGGCATGGATAGTGGCAATGGTTATATAACATTGTGAACTGTACAGTTAAGAATGATTATAATGATAAATATTACATTTCACATATTTTACTACAATTAAAAAAAAAAGCACGTTGGAAAGAACTGGAGTTTTGGCTCAGCACCCGTAGCACAGTGGTTAAGGCGCCAGCCACATACACCGAGGCTGGCCGGTTCAAAACCAGCCTGGGCCTGCTAAACAACAATGACAACTGCAACAAAAAATAGCCAGGCATTGTGGTAGGTGCCTGTAGTCCCAGCTATTTGGGATGTTGAGGCAAGAGAATCGCTTAAGCCCAAGAGTTTGAGGTTGCTGTGAGCTGTGACGCCACAGCACTATACCAAGGGCAACATAGTGAAACTCTGTCTCAAAAAACAAACAAAAAAAAACTGGAGTTTTGGCAGGTTGTATACATGGCTGGACCAGGGAGTAGCCAACCTCCCTAAGTGCCTGCACAGATACTCAGCTCCACAGAGCCTGACAGCTCCACAGAGCCTGACACCCGCACCCACAGAACCTCGTTCGAAACAGTAGGTGGTAGGCTGGGTCTGGCTTCCGGGGGGCAGCTCCCCATCCCTGGCCCTGACTATGTCCTGGTACCCACCAGCTTCTGGTGCGAGGCTATGATTTTCCATGTTCTTGCATCTGTTGAAGGCCAGGCACCCAGGGCTCAGGGGAGGTCTCATCCTCACTGGCAGCTGTGTGCCTTCCTAGCACAGGAAGCTCCAGAAACAGTACAGAGTACGGCCCTGTCTTGTCCTGGCAGCCAAACCTCCCATGGCTTATCCATTCTCTGGCTTCTGTGGACCAGGGCTTGTCCTAAGGCTCTCTGACCTGGGGCCATCTGGCTGCAGGAAACTGCAGGTTTATAGAAATGATGCCCCTGGGTCAACCTGGGCATGACCACAAGTGAGACCTCTGACCCTGGTCTTCCTGGGCAGATAGAAAACAGGCTGGGCAGCCCTTGTGGGAGCCGAGCCCTGGGGCCAGGAAGCTGCTTCGTGCCTGTAATGTAAACACCTGCAGCATGTGGGGTGGCTGGGCAGCAGGGAAGCCTAGCTGGGCTGTGCTCCTGGATTCTGGCTCCAGAGGCAGCCCTGGTGCAGAGCTCAGTCCAAGACTCCCGGGGGAGCCAAACCAAGAAGGCCTACTTACCAGAACCACATTCAAAGTGTCAGGGGGCTCTCCAGAGCGGGCCGGAGACCAGAAGGACCTACACGGCCTTTTCACAGTCAGGCCAAGGAGCTGCTGGGTGAGGTGTGCGGCCACGGACCTGCGCGGTGGCTTCTGCCCCCTCCTCGTCTGCTCCCCTGTGGGTGCCCCCTCCCCAGCCTCCTCCCACTATAGCTTTTAGGCCACGTTCTTCTGGTTCTCTGAGAAGTCCTTGGTTCTTTGGGTGCTCAGAAGCTGATTCCTGAGTCAGAGCTGACTGCTCTTCCAGGATACGCTGGGCCTTGGCCCTGCATCCTGAAGCCCTTGGGGCGACACTGGCCTGACCCCACCCTTGCCCCAGAGTACATCATAGCACAGTGGGGTCACCTGGGCCACAGGCTCTCTGGTTGTCGTATGGAGATTTCTGTCTTCTCACGTCACTTTCTGTACCCCTCAGTCTCTCACCCCTGTCCATCACACATCTCGGGCTCTTCCCCAGAAAGGGACATGCACCCCAGGGCCTGCGTGGCAGGGGCTGAGCCTGCCCAACCCACAGGCCCAGAAGCTCAAGCAGGTACAGGTGTGACAGGCTGCAGGGGAGACCCGTCTACACATCCACGGTTTGCCCACTTGGTCTGTGCCCAGGCAGGACCTAGTGGGCTCAGGCCAGACCCCACCCCAAGTTGTCCTCCTTGGTGCCTGTCTGGGCCTTGGGGGACCCTGCCCTGGCCGCCACTGGCCCCAGTGCCTCCTGCAGGTCCTGGCAGCATCACTCTGCCCTGCAAGCAGGGCCTGGCCTCCTCCTGTCCCCATTCGAGCAACTCCAGTGTTTAGAGGCCCCTGTGCTGTGTCTGCAGGAAGCAAAGGGGGCTTTAGAACATTGCTTAGCTCAGCAAGGAGCTGCCAGGTGGGCGCTTTGGGTGTGGGAGGCCAGCTCTCACTGTGCTGTGATGGCAGCCTGAGGAGGACAGTCCGTGGGTCTCTGCCCCAGCATCTCCAGTCCTCTCTGAAAAGCCCCCAGGGCCTGCCCAGCCAGCCCACCTGCTTTCGGTCATCCGTCTTGTTGATGATGCCAATGAGCCTCTGGACAGTGACCCTGGCCTTCTTCCTGTTGGCGACGGAGGACAGGAGAGGCAGCCAGGCATTCCAGTAGTGCCGTGCAGCCATCATCACCAGAGCACTGCTGCCTGCGTTACCCCCGAACCTGCAGGAGGTGGGTAGCAGCTGTGGCACTGCTGCAGCTGGGGAGCTGCAGGAGCTGAGGCTGGTGAGGCTTGGGCCTTGTGCCCTGCCATGCCCACCCACCTGCCAGGATAGCACTACTGCCCAGCTGGGCCTATGCTAGCTTGAGCTGCAGGTGCCAGGCAGGTGAGTCCCGCCCTCCACCTCCCTGGGGCTCCCAGCCACCCTCTTCTAGTCAGGTCAGGCCTCCACAGGGCAGGAGATCCTGCTCAAGTCACAGGGCCACCACAGCCTCTGCGCAGGCCTCCTGTTGTCCTCCGCACCTGGCACTCTCCAGGAAGGCCCTAGCTGCTGACAGCCGCAGGTGCTTCCGGCCCTTCAGGCTCTCGAGGATGCTCCTGCCCTTGACACATGAGGCCATGCACAGCATCTCTGCCACCAGCCGGGCCTCGGGCCTGGAGGACAGAGAGCCTGGGGAGGGCGGCGCCAAGCGCACTGGGCTCCCCTGCAGCGGCTCAACCTGTGGCCCTGCACAGATGGTATCCACCAGGCCTTGGCTCCGGGTTTGGGTAGCTGAGGTGAACAGGCAGGTGGCTCAGCCTGGAGTGCCTGTCTGTGGCCTGGAGACATAGGCAAGTCCTGTGGCCAGTGCTGGGACACATGGCCTGGGCTCTGGGCCTCACTGACTCTGGCAGTGACTGGGAGAAAGGCCAACCCCCCTCAGCACCAAGATAGCCCCCGTGACAGCTGTCTCCTCAGCTAGTGTCCAGGGGCTCCAGCACAGCAGCCAGTCAGCAGGCTGAGCCTCTCATGGCCCTCCCGCCGGGCTGTCTCCTGGTCTTAGAAGTCTCTGCCCATCCCTCTGAACAACTTCTGGCCCTTTCTGGCCCTTTCCCCACATGTGCACTAAGCTGAGGCCCCACAGCTGAGGCAAGCCTCCCACAGAGGAATGATGCCCGGCTCCCCAAGGGGGGCACATCCTTGCAACTCTCAGGAGAGAAGCATGAGGGTTTGCAAGTCTGGGATCCAGAGTAGGGACCTGCCAGATGGAGGTGCTGTCCCTCCCCTGTGGGCACCTGCTGGCCTGAGGCCAAGGCCACCCTTCAGGGGACAACAGTGGAGTCTGGCCTGTGTTGTGCAGTTGGTGGGCAGGGATTCTATAATGGGGCCATCAGGTGACTTCTGTGGCCAGTGTCACTCAAGCCTTATACACCCTGACCTCCCCACTTTGCCGTGCCAGCTACGCAGATGGGCCTGTTCACAACCACACAGTGGGGCACCCATCCTTCCTCTTCTGGTATTTTGAAGCCCTGCTGTTGGTGGATACAGTTAGCTTTGTCAGGGTTTCCTGATGATGTCATACTTCTACCTCCTCCTACTGTGAGCATTTCAGTGTGGCCACTAGGCCTTCTCTGACCTGCATTTCCAGGTCAGCTCATTTACATTCATTGGCACCGTCCACACAGAGATGGGGTTAGAACCAGCATTTGCTCTTTGCTTCCTACGGTTGGGATATCCATACTAAATATGCACACTAGAATATCTACATACACCTTTAAAAATGCAAAGAGATAGAACAAAAAATTGAAATATGTGTAATTTTTTTTAAAAAAATCTTTAATAAAGGTTAATCACCTGCAGGGCATGGCCTGTGGCCTGGTGGAGGGAAGATGGTGTGCAGGGCCACAGCAGTGACTGCAGGACATCCTCTCCCACTGAGCACAGGGCTGCTCTGCACAATGCCTCCTGAGCCCAGGCACTAGCACCAGCCGGGACTTGCTGGCATTGCTGACATGCCAGTATTACCAAGGCTGAGCCCAGTGCAGAGCCACAGCTAAGCCCCATATGGAGGTGCAGTCCCACTGAGTCACCACTAGAGGACAATGATGGACTACAAATGATCTATCTTTTCTTTTCTTTTTTCTTTTTAAGAGACAGAATCTCGGCTCGGCACCTATAGCTCAACCGGCTAAGGCGCCAGCCACCTACACCTAAGGTGGTGGGTTCGAATCCCCAGCCCGGACCCGCCAAACAACGAGGGCTGCAACCAAAAAATAGCTGGGCATTGTGGCAGGTGCCTGTAGTCCCAGCTACTTGGGA